ACGTAGTAACGCCCGGTCAGCGGGGTCCCAGTCCCGGCCGAGCCACGGAGTAACGCCCGGTCAGCGGGGTCCCAGTCCCGGCCGAGCCACGGAGTAACGCCCGGTCAACGGGGTCCCAGTCCCGGCCGAGCCACGGAGTAACGCCCGGTCAACGGGGTCCCAGTCCCGGCCGAGCCACGGAGTAACGCCCGGTCAACGGGGTCCCAGTCCCGGCTGAGCCACGTAGTAACGCCCGGTCAACGGGGTCCCGTGCGTTCGGCCCTAACATTTATGTTGAAGCCCTAAACCCCACCGCCTCAGAATGTGACTGCATTTGGAGATAGGGCCTTTTAAAGGCGATTAAGTTAAAATGAGGCTGTGAGGGTGAACCCAAGCCAAACTGACTGTTGTCCTTATAAGAGGAAATGTGGGCACACAGAGAGACACCAGGGATGTGTGCACGGAGGAGAGGCCCCGGGAGGACGTAGCGAGAAGGTGGCCATCTATGAGCCAAGGAGAAAGGCTCAGTGAAAACCACACCTGTCAACACCCCCAGACTTCCCGCCTCCAGAACTGTGAGAAAATAAACTTCTGCTATTTAAGCGCCCCAGCCTGTGGTATTTTGTTACAGCTAAGACACCCTATGATCCTAAGCAAGGTTCTTCACCAGTGAGAGTCTGGAAAAAATGAAGACGCCGCCGCCTTCTGGGGCTTGTTCTGAGATCAGTGATTTAATATGAAACACCTAGTGGGTAATGGTGTTCAAATTCGTTTGCTGAGCGAATGACTGAGGGAGCAAATGCCAAGGGTGAAGCGGATATACAAACTGATGGATCCTAGGGCAACGTGCCTGAGCCCCTCTCGTGTCTGGGAGAAGGCAAGTTTGGGTGTGTTGTAGCTGCCGCACCAGCCTGGCCTGATGACGGCCAACATAGTAGCGGGGACAGGAGCAGCTTCAGGACTTGGTCTAAATATTATTTTATGCCTACGAGCTGGGCAAAAACAAATAGCCAATGTAGGCCTTTGAGTATTATAAGTGCTTTTGAGACCAGAACATTTCTTTCTGGAAGGAACAGTAACTAAGGGGTGTATGTTTGACTTATAGCATCCTTTAGATGCTGCTTAAAGAGCTCTCAAGATTCTGAACAGTATACACATCTTTTGGAGTAATAATAGCAAGCACTGTCTGGAAAGCACTGTTCTGAACACTGTACATGCATTAACGTATTTATTCTTCAAAACATTTTTATAAAATATATGCTATTAGCGCCACCTTACCAATGAGGAAATAAGCACAGAAACATTAATCTTAACTTGCCCAAGGTGATACAGCTAGCGAGTACAGAGCCAGTATTTGAACTCTCAATGCTTCTATGAAGACTCTTAAGAAGAGTTGACCAAGAAATCAAATATGACAGGAATGTTACTAATCTTGAAAGAGAAGCGTGCAGTAACTTGCACATAGTTTTTGGAAAATTAGTCTCTATAAACCTTAATGTGCTCTTAATAACTGCCGAACTTATATATCAAGTTATTCAGTAATCATATATCAAGACTTCGGTAAAAATTGTTTATGGTGGGCGCCTGGGTGGCTCAGATGGTTGGGCATCTGCCTTCAGCTCAGGTAATGATCCCGGGGTCCTGGGATCGAGCCCCACATTGGGCTCCTGGCTCAGCCGGGAACCTGCTTCTCCCCCTCCCCCTGCTCATGCTCTCTCTCTCTCTCTCTCTCTCTCTCTCTCTCTCTCTGTTTCTCAAATGAATAAATAAAACCTTAAAAAAATTATTTATGGCCAATAGGCAATCTCTATAAACTCATCCTTTCTTAGGTGTCACTGTATTCCTTATGTTGCATTTGTCTCCTTTCCTCTTGGTTCTTCCTGTCCACCTCTTCTCTGAAATGTTTCATTGAACTCTACGAAATTGCTGATATTCAACTATATTTGACCTACAAAAATGACAGCTTCGTTTGGTTCAAGCTAATATAACTAAATTTTCTATTTCCTATTATAAAGTCTTACAGGAATCTAAAATTATAGTCATAATGTATATTGTTTCATTGATTATAAAAGTCTGATACAAGACAATTTCTTATAATACACTACTTAGGCACAATTGTCACATACTTCAAACAGAATTCCAGGAGTACTCCCTACCTAAAACAAAGGTTCAAAACATTCACATTATTAAAAGTAGAAAACAAAACTTTATTTGATGAAAACTTCTTAAAAGTTCCAGTGTGAAGTAACAAAATCAACAACCTACAAAGCTCTTTCAGTCCTTTGCATTTCACGCAAAATATTCTCTTCAGAAAAATGACCATTTCATAATATATATCCCTCTCTGTAGGCTAGGCGTGTCTGAATGGATAAATGGATATAAAATTCAAAAGAGAAGAAAATGAAAATATTTTAAAAATAAAAATCTGAACCCTCTCCTTGAGGTGTATTGCAATATGGTTACCAACATATTCAGCACCTTGTAATAATCAAGTTACTGATCTGAGTCATGGAACAGCCCTGAAAAGAAAGAACAAGTCATAGGTTGGAAGCAGAAGAAAAATTGACATCAACTAGAGAGGAGCTCAAATATATGAAATCCACTCTTTCTGAACTATTTAACACTCACGTCAAACAGCTAATTGTACAGATTTAAAAAAGCAGCTCAGAGTTGGGAATACGGATATTTCCCTAACGCATCTTTAATGCTGTTAACAACATAGGACTCCACGCTGAGAGGCTAATCGAATATCAGAAGATCTCATTTCACAGATTACCTCAGATGTAGAAACTTTGGATCCCACTTGTTCTTTTATTCTATCCCAAAACAAGGTTCATTGGATAGTAAGATACCAAGTCAAAAAAATCAAGAATATCCTGAATCAATGCACCAGTAGAAAAGATGAGTTTCTTGAGTCTTCTCTTTTGCCTCTTTATTGAGGATCCTGAGAAAGTTAGGAAACAAATGAGGCAGGCAGATACTGCTTACAAGTAAAAGAATTCTAGATTCACTAAATAATTTTAAATGAGCTTTAACCATGAGAGGAAACTAGAAATCAACAGCCCAATTGTGTTTAAAAGGGCAGATGGTGCTTACATCTTGAGTTTAGGAATAAAACTATCTGCAGCAAATGTCTGGTGATTAAGTCATAAATAATTTCATGCTTAAGTATTGCAAATCATGATGCTATTAAGTGAATTTGTGTTTGATCTGTTTATATGCAATTTATTGGATTTTGTGAAATGTTTTCATATTCTTTAAAAGGACAGTAATCTGTGCTTATCTGCTTACATATCTGAAATCACCCATCATAATCATACACAAGCTTACTTACTGGAGAACTACAAGGTTATGTTGTACCATATGTATCTTGTACCACAAAATCTGTTCCTATTTAGGGTAGACTTAATAAAACTTCTACTGTCTTAATGCAGTCTTGTATAAACCAGTCATGTGTGTAACACAAGATGTTCAGTGCCCAGCATGGTCAGTCATTCCCGTCATAATCACTGTAACCCTGGTAGCCACTGTTCCTTCTCTCATGGATACTGGACATCTTTTTCCATGCCAAGTCCTGATGGAAACTAGCACTGAAAGACCGGCCCAGACGCCCATGCTGCTTCTTGGAGATATTATCTTCACTCTCCGATTTGGCAATTCCCTGGGCATGTGTTGGAGGTTGTGATTCTTGTCTCATGGTTCCAAACGGAAAGTTCCAAAGGCCAAATCTTTGCCAGTTAAGTCTCTGGAATGCTATGATGCAATGCAAATTTCCCCCAACCTGAGAAGGAAAGAAAGTTGGATTAAGAAAATAAAAGGAATTATGCTAATAATGTGGGTTCCTATGAATTCCCTTATTTTTCCTCCTTCACCTGCCTCAAAACAGACCATCAGATTGCCTTACCCTGCATCTTTCTTGACCAACTGCCTTTACAAAAATAGAACAATGCCCCCAGGAGCCAAAACACCTTCCCTCCATATGCCTCTCCACCGGTCACATACACTGTAACCTCCCCATTTGCCTAATCCAAACTCCAAGATGTGGGGTGCCTAGATGGCTCAGTCAGTTAAGCGTCCAACTCTTGATTTCAGCTCGGGTCATGATCTCAGGGTTGTGAGATCGAGCCCCACGTCTGGCTCTGTACTCAGTGCAGTCTACTTGGGATTCTCTCTCCCTCTGTCCCTCTGCCCCTCCTCCCCCACTCACTCTCACACTTGCTCACTCTCAAATAAATAAATAAATAAATAAATAAATAAATAAATATCTTCAAACACCAAGATAATTCCCCTTCCTATCTCCTATACGTTCTTGATGTTAGTAGGATCATAGTGGGATGTCAATTCACAGAATCTACCTTTCCCTGAGAACTTCCCCCAGCCACCTTGTGCACATATGGCTCTGCTTCATGGCCACAGTTCATTGGGCTCAGGAGTGAACACCTGACGTAAGCTGGGCCAAAACTATGGAACTGGGCCAGAGGCAGGTGAGTCTCAGTCTAGCCTGCTCATCTGAAAGGGAGATGTAAGCTGCAGTTCCTGATCTTTAGGAAGTAAATAATCAGATAAATAAGAATAGCATACAAATCCCAAAAGAATAAGACAGATTAGGGGCGCCTGGGTGGCTCAGTCATTAAGCATCCACCTTCGGCTCAGGTCATGATCCCAGGGTCCTGGGATCGAGCCCTGCACTGGGCCCCCTGCTCAGCAGGAAGCCTGCTTCTCCCTCTCCCACTCCCCCTGCTTGTGTTCCCTCTCTTGCTGTGTCTCTCTCTGTCAAATAAATAAAATCTTAAAAAAAAAAAAAAAAGAATGAGACAGATTAGCTACTTGGCCCCTGCTAACATTCTTTTGGTTGATACCCATCCCTTATGAATCCAGGCTATAGTCTTTGCCTTTTCATTCTAAAGATACCCTTGTGTCCTGAAAGTAATTTTCACTTTTCTATCTAAGATAATCCAAAGTGGATTTCTATTATTTACAACCTAAAGAGTGCTGAGTAGAATACTGTATTTTGGCTGATTGGGAAATATCTTCAAATACTATTGTGTTCTTACCTTCTTTGTTTTTCGATACTGCAGCCCCCTCTCCAAGTGTCGGATATCTAGATATTCTGGATTTTGAGTGTTGAGATCAGTAACAATATCTGCCCACCTATAGCGAAAAAGGAAGGATAAAGCACACTTTTCTTTAAGTACAAAATACCATTGTAATGGAATGTTTTCAAAAGATGTTATTTATTAATCTATTTATTTATTAGAGAGTGAGAGCACACGAGCGGGGCAGGGAGAGACAAGCTGACTCTGCACTGAGTGCAGAGCCCAGTGCAGGGTTAGATCTCACAACCCTTCAGGATCTGTACAGCATGGTGACTATAGTTAATAACATAGTATTGTATACTTGAAATTTGCTAAAAGAGTAGATCTTAAGTGTTCTCACCACACACACAGAAAAGGTAACTATGTGAGCTGATGGATATGTTAATTAACACTTGATTGTGGTAATCATTTCACAAAATATATGTCAAATCAGTACACTGTACACTTTAATATATACAGTTGTATATGTGCATTATACCTCAATAAAGCTGGGAAAATAAAAAAAATTTAAGTAAAAAAAGGAATAACAATATCAAATATTGGTGAAGGCATGAAGAACAACTGGACTCTCCATACAATGCTGGTGGGAGTGTAAAATGGTACAACCCCACAGGAGAACGTTCTCCCAGTTTCTTAAATATACATCCATCCTATGATCAGCAATTCCACTCCTAGATATCTACCCAAGAGAAACAAACATATAAACCTGTCCTCAAAAAACTTGCACAAGAAAATGTGGCATATCCATACAACAGAAAATTACTTGGCCATATAAAGGAATGTAGTTCTGGTCCATGCTACAACACAGATGAACATTGAAAACATTATTGTAAGTGAAAAAAGAAAGACACAAAAGGCCACACGTTTTATGATTCCATTTATATGAAATGTCCATATTAGGCAAATGCACAGACAAAGTAGACCAGGGGCTGGGGGGAGGGGGCTTGGGAGTGACTGCTAATTGGTATGAGGTTTCATTTGGGGGTGATGAAAATATCCTGGAATTAGGTCATGGGGACTGATGTTCAACTCTAAATACACTAAAATCCACTGAACATTTTTTACATTTTTAAAGGGTGCACTTTATGGTATGTGAAATTTATTTCAATGAAGCTGTCACTCAAAATTTTTTTAAAGACATGTACATTAATGGTCCCAACAGCTTTACCCACAATAGACCACACTCAAAACAATCCAAATGGTCATCAACAGGAAAACAGGTAACAAACTGTAGTATACCTACAGTACCTAATACCACTCAGCAATAAAAAGAGAAGCATGACATGCATGACAAAGTGGATGAATCTCACAAGGCCAGACAAGAAAGAATACTGTATGACTCCACTGACATGACTTTCAAGGACATGCAAAGCAATTCCACAGTGATAGAACAGAGACTGTCTCTGGAGACTGACAGGAAAAGAGAATGAGGGTACTTTCAATGCAATGAAACTCTTCCATATCTTGATTGGGGTGGTGATTACACAGGTGTATTCAGTTTCCAAAATCCACCTAATTATACAGTTAAGATCTGTGCATTTCACTATGTGTAAATCTTACCTAAATTAAAGAGAAAAGGGGAAATTAACATACTTTTTACAGTGAATAGCAGGATGTTTTCTACTTGATTCTCCAATTAAGATCCAATATTCTACTTCCTGTGGTGAGAGGGGGCCCCTGCTAAATATAAAATACATTCATAGTAAGCTTAGTATAGGCCATTCACTCCTTTGAAATATTGCCTCAACTATGTTAATAAAAGATACTAAAGTTTATTCAAATATGACATTCATTAATGCTAGAACAGATACTGGAGTATAGGCTTGAACAAATTTCTTAAGGCCATTAAAGAGAAAGCATAAATCACGCTTAGGTCTTAATCCCTATTATAAAATATAGGACTAAAAAAAATTAAATATACCACCTCTCTCAGCATCTAAAAAGAAAAAAAAATCCTAGCATGCTACCAGCATTCTCCAGCTAATCCTCTCCTTTCACTGTGCATTTAAAAAGTTTCAAAAGGCATCCTAAAAATAAAACCCTAAAGTGTACCAATGCCCTAATCCCACTTCTGGAAACTAATTCAAGTAAATCTGGAGTAGAGTGAGGGGAGGGATTTGCCCAACTGTAAAGGCATCTCAGGCGATTGTTAGGTACAGGCAGAGGTAGAGAACTCTCCCCTAATGGGTACAAAGTAGGAGGACCTACTGTTTCACATTTTATATTCGATAGATGTCTGGAGTAAGGTGAAGTTGCAGAATGAATCCACAGAAGAAACAACATACCTCACCTCCAGAGCAAAGAAGAAAACATTTCAGGATTTGGAGAGATCAAGTAGTTTCCCCCTTGCTCCCCATTCACAAAAATACAGTGTCCAGCTTCCTGGTTCCCCCAGGTCTCAGGATCCTGTCCCAGGACCCCGCTACCCCACAGCGCCTTGAGAGGGACTCATGCTGCATGGCCTCCAACCTCAAAGAACCCATCCTACCCTCAGATGACTGAGCCATGCTCTCCCTGCCTGACCCTCAGGTTTTACTGAAAGAGCAATTGCTACCCCTTCCTTCTCCTCAAGTACCGAGGCCACTCACCCGGGACAAAGGGGGAACACCGATAAATTCCACATTTTTCACCATGAGAAAAGAAGATGCTGCTTAATGTACTCAGTTGGGACAATCTTTTGGTATTAGACTCCATAATTCATTTTTCCATGTGGGACAGTGGGTGAAAACACCATGACATAAGATGGGACGTCCTATGCAACCATTTTATAATAAACGTAAACGTGATTTTTCAAACGTGTTTCCCTTCATGAGTCTGAACAACAGTATCTAAGTGGATAATGTAAAAGCACAACTAGCCAAATGCAATTCTGCAAAAGAATTAGCTAAAATATTAAATAATAGTCTAACTTGAAAAAAAATAACACACATTTTCTTGGTGAATTATCCACATAAAATATGTAAATGCTTACCTGAATGCTTTATTAGCTTTAACAGGGGTTGCTTCAAAGCCAATTGGACAAAAATAATGATTTTGGCAGTGATAGATATAAGCCAGCGATTCATCTTTCAATCCATGAGTTAACTTCGACAAGGCCCCTGAAGCTACACAAAACAAAAGCAAACAAACTGAGGGACCATAAAGCACTGTAGATGCTTTACACAAACTACTAGTTAAGGACGGAAAGACATTACTTGGAACGCACGGACACTGCTGAGGAAGAGTGAGAAACTATTGGCAGATACAAAAACTATTCATACATTTACTTTCAGTTTTACCCTTGCGACTGAAATTCAGATAAACTGAACCGCAAACTAAAGACCTGAATGGTGCCCTTGCTTATCAAAACCTTCTAGGGGCACCTGGGTGGCTCAGTTGCTAAGCGTCTGCCTTCAGCTCAGGTCATGATCCCAGGGTCCTGGGATCGAGCCCCACACTGGGCTCCCCGCTCTGCGGGAAGCCTGCTTCTCCCTCTCCCACTCCCTCTCTCTCTGTCTCTCTCTCTCTAATAAATAAATAAAATCTTAAAAAAAAAACCCTTCTAATAGCACATCCTTGTCTACAAAATTTAATGACCACATAAAACCCAATACCTAGTGTAAACAACAATGGTCTCAACTTTCCTGGTTGTGCATATCTGTCACTGGAAATTTCTCAATAGACATGCCCATTAGAAGCATTTTTGTTTACAGACTATATAGACTACTGTACTAATATGACTTTGTAAAAGATATACAAAAGGTAAGAATTTTTTGATTAAATTAAAATACTGGCATTCTAATATGTTCTTCCCATTCCACAGTGGTGATCTTGCACAGCTCCGGTGATATGTACACTGATGTTGATGGGTAAATGTAAACTCTAGATAAGACACAAACCTCCAAAATGCAAACTTTTCCCCACAACACACACTTTAGTCTTTCTACAAAAGCTACCCAGACTAGAGGGACAGCTTTCATAAGCCAAGTGATGAGATAAGAACATCTCTCAGACAGGCTGGTCATACCACAGAATCCTCTTAATAACCGTTCCTCCTTTTATATTTCCCACAGCTCTATTAGTTGTGAAGTCATTTCAAAAGTCTTACCATAAGCAGTAAGTTTTTACCAGCACTCAATACTTAAAGCCATTAACTGAGGTTTCGTTAACTTGCATCTCCTGGAAGAAACTAAATTATTAATGAACAAATAGCCCGTTAAAAATGGAAATCCTAAAAATAGGTGAAGTCGATGAAAGGTGGCAATTTATGGTTTCCCTGATTGACTTTCTGGCCACTGACATAGCTGAAGACCTCTAAGAACAGCAGGTCAAAGCTAACGCAGCAGGACGCCACCGTACCCCTGTAGACACAATTTGTGAGCTGCATGGGGACAATAACATTTTTAACTTCAATCTGTTCTCCAAGTCTTCATCTAGGTCTTTCCCATAGATTTCTATTTCATGGCCTACCACCAGGGCATATCTGCATGGCACGGTGAACTTTTCCACTAAAATTTCTATTTCATAATGACAAGTGATAAATCTTTCTGCAGCTTTTGGTTGACTTCCCTTGGCAATTTAAAAACTAACACCCAGAGCATCTGGGTGGCTCAGTCGATTGGGCATCTGCCTTCAGCTTGGGTTGTGATCCCGGAGTCCTGGGATCGAGTCCCACATCGGGCTTCCTGCTCTGTGGGGAGCCCGCTTCTCCTTCTGCCTCTTCCTCTCTCTCTCTTTCTGTCTCTCATGAATAAATAAAGGAAATCTTAAAAAAAAAAAAAAAACTAACATCAAGGGCAGTTCTAATGAATGCCCAACAGAACTAAAATTCAGAAGAGGGTCTTATGTCATTACCATAGTTGAACGTCATTATAGATAGGTTCCAGGATCGTGAGCAAATGTAAATGTATGCATTTGGACTCCTAACAAATTCAATAATTACAAAAGATGGGTATACACATAACTGGTTTAGAAAAAACTCTTAAAATCTTTTTTAAAATTGTGAAAATGTCAAATAGAAAGTTTTCCCAAATAACTAAAACCTTTACTGAATAACTAAAACTTATAATAAAAGGGATTTTTATTATAGCTTTTTAATGGATATCTTTAAGTATTTCACATTTTCCTTCTTTAAAGTCAAATGTAATACAAAACACCTGACTTCGTTAGTGTGCCTGTGAAGAGTAATGACTCTAATGTCCTGGAATATATTCAAGATTTCAGGAGCAAATGAGATAGGTTAAGAAAATTCGCTCTCATTATCCTCATTACCCTTCACATCTTTTTGTCTGCTGCAAGCACTCTTTTTTTTCCTTTTTTTAAAGAGTACAGGTGCTACAAACACTCTTTGACCATGTCATTTTTTCTAGAAGACATGAGGTGGGGGGTTTTTTCTATAGAGTAATAATTATGGGCTTAGTGCTAGTCAGGGATGTTCCTGCTCCTTACTTCAAGGTTCTGGTTGGTTCAGATTAGGGATTAGCAAACTTTTTCTTAAAGGGCCAGAGAGTAAATATTTGAGGTTTGTCGGTCATGAGCACACCTCATACTAGTCACCTCTGCCTTTGTAGCATGAAGCAGCCATAGGGAATGTGTAAGCAAATGGTTATGACTGTGTTCCAATCAAACTTTGTTACAAAAAGGACTGTAATTTGATGACCTCTAATTTAAGAATAATTTTCAAACTTTTTTGGACATGCAACCCCTCTGTAAGGAAAGTTGACATGGCAGGCTAGTGCATTTAAAGGCTAAAAGCAGAGTTGCCATGGCCAAAAAGGAGGTAGGGAATCTGGATGCCTGGTCCTCTCCCCTCTCAGCACCAAAGTACTGCCATAGGATTCCCATGGCTCAACTGAGCGCAATTTGAAAATCACTGAATTTCCTATCAATGGAAGACCCAGCTCTTGATAGAAAGACTACAGCAATAGTTCTCAAGCTCGACACACAGGGCTTTCTAAACAACTGATTGCTGGTACCCACCCCCAGAGTGTGTGACCCAGTAGGTCTGGAGTGGGGACCAAAAACTTGCATGTCTAACAAGAACTTGCATGTCTAACAAGTTAGCAGGTGATGCTGATATTGGTCCAAGGATCACATTTTGAGACTTGGTCTAGAGTTAATGGAAAATTCCATTTAACTCAATGTAGTAAACCATTTGTGAGCACCTACTAACTATACCAGGAACTGCAGGAAAACAAGAGGCAAGTAATGCATAGTACCTCGACCTGCCCTCCTAGGGAAGATAAAACAAGTGTTATTACATTATTATTTACTATAGAGTGGAATAAGACAGTGCCACAGAAAAGGGATATAATTCAAAGGAGAAGAGCACATCAGGTTTGAAGAATCAAGAAGGGTGCCATTCAAGACAGAACTTAACGAAGTGGTAGGATTTCAACAATCCAGACAGAGGAAAGGCCAGGAGGAGAAAACAAAATCATTGCAGGGGAGGGATGTAATCAGGGAACAGCAGGTGGGTGGTCTAGTTTAGAATACAGGGTATGACAGCATAGTGAATCCTACCGTAGGGCACCCCCAGAATTTCAGGACAAGGTCAGAAAAAGATCACCCTCTGAAATAAAAGACAGTAAATACAATATTTAATACATTAAGGTAGTCACCCAGGGAAGTACTTCTAGGCAGGAGAAGACACAAAAATGTGTTACTGATAGAAATGAAATTCAGCACCATGTTCAGCCTAAACCAGAGTATTTCTAAAAAATCCAAAACCTACATGACAGAGCAACCACTTCCAACTGCAGGGCCTGATCTGTATGGCGCACAAGAACTACTAGAACCAGCTGGACTGCTATACAGTGAAAAGGAACATACTTCCTGAGCGGCCAACGAGAGAATTCTGGTCCCTTTGGTTATATATTTCTCACTCTAAGTTAATATATAAACATTCTGGTATTCTCTGAGTCTGTTTAGTGCAAGTTTGTTCTATAGGGCCTGATCATCTATAGGAAAACTACAGAGAATTCTGGAAGAATTTGTCACAAGTATTTTACACCTTCAAAGACAAGAGCCAGATTCTTTAATCCAGGAACATAACATTATCCTGCAAGGTTCTTCCTCCCTTGACATCTTTTAAATGCAGCTGGTCCGTGGAGGACAGCAGTGGAAGGCCAATCTGCATTGGCTTTGAATGATGCTAAGGATTTTATGCTTTAAGCAAGCACTGGAGAGCTCCTAAAGTAGATGGATCTATTAGCACTGCACACTGAAAAGTGCCGTGGTGTCTAGTAAGAACTGGGAGAAACCAGCAGATGAGGAAAACAGAGTATTGATGCATAGTCCACCTGAGATGTGCTAAGACACAGTGGTAAGCTCCTAACAGTGGCCACAGTGAGAGTATATATGAGTCACATCGGGAAAGGGTAGAGGTAGCTGTTTTCGGTTAAGTGAAACTAAGAAGTTATAATACATACCAGCATAAAAATGAAATACATGAACATTAGTATAATTGTCAAGCTAGCTGATTAAAAAAAAATTAATCTAGGGGCACCAGAATCACTCAGTCAGTTAAGCATCTGCCTTTGGCTTAGGTCAGGATCCCAGGGTCCTGGGAGGGAGCCCCGTGTCTGGCTGCCGGGAGAGTCTGCTTCTCCCTCTCCCTTTGCCCCTGCCCTGCCGCCACTGGTGAACTCTCTCTCTCTCAGATAAATAAATAAAATCTTTTTTAAAAAATAAAAAAAATTAATCTAGACTTTCCTGGCACAAATGTTGGTGGCTAAGTGAACCAACAGTTTTTTTTGTTTTTTTTGTTTTTAAGATTTTATTTATTTATTTGACAGAGAGAGACAGAGCAAGAGAGGGAACACTGCAGGGGGAGTGGGAGAGGGAGAAGCAGGGAGCCCGATGCGGGGCTCGATCCCAGGACCCTGGGACCATGACCTGAGCCGAAGGCAGACGCTTAATGACTGAGCCGCCCAGGCGCCCCTGAACCAACAGTTTTAAGTTACCTGAATAATAATAATAGCAATAATTATATTATGTTATGTTTATTATATATT